TATATATATATATATAAGAACAAATTTATGTTGTAGTCCAATTTGCTTTGTGGCTACCAACCACATTCACAACATTTTGATTACGTTTTTTCTTTCATATTGCTTACACTGCATCTACAACGTGTTATGATACATGTTTCAAATTGCAGTATTTATCGCAAATAATAGGTATATATACATACAATAAGTTTATAAAAGATTTTAACGTCAGATAATTGCACATTTATGAAAAGAGTTTGAGCATGGCAGTCATCAATTGAACTATGCACTTCCGTATATAGTGTAATCGTCGAGTTTCAGTGAAAATTGAAAATTACAAAAGTTTTTGTGGTAGAAGATTTAAAAAAATGGTGAAAGCGCTCAGGAAAAAATTTATAGACACTTGGCGCAATTAAGGGCGAATGTTTACGGTAGGGGAATAATTAATGAACATATGCGCGGCGCTCCATCAGGTCGACACGAGCTCTTTTGAAATGCCCACCGTACAGCCTTTATGAAGTTCCACTCGCTTCCGATTAAGCAGTAAATCTTCGATGGTGCTCTCTTCCGCGGTTTACCTTGCTCCACTCTTATCAGCTTGGTGAGTTGTGGCACATATACGCTCGTTTGAGTGAGTGAGTAAGTGTGTGTGTGTGTGTGTGTGTGTGTGAGAGAGAGAGAGAGAGAGAGAGAGAGAAAGAGAAAAAGGGGGAAAGGGAGAGAGAGAGAGAGAGAGAGAGAGAGAGAGAGAGAGAGAGAGAGAGAGACCTCATCTCTATTGTTCTAGCTTTTCATCAACGGTTCGGAATGAAAGCCTTTGGAATAGAGCACGAATTGCTGGGACACAGCGGCGGGCGACCGAGCAATTAAAAGTGCGTGCGGAACTCGTTCCTGAATAAAGGAAAAGCTACTGTAATATTTAAAAAACCGGAATAATATTCTTTGTCGCATGGTTGTAACTTCAAATTAGACCTTGACGAAATTTAATAATATTTGTATTTTAAATTGACAATTGCAAGTCTCAAAAAATTGTGTGCAGCAAGACATGAGCTTTCCTTTCCTCCCCCTCCCCTTTATTCTTTACACACACACACACACACACGCGCGCGCGCGCGCGCGCACATACGCACATGTATGCATATATATATATATGTATAAAAATGATCTTTACGTAATCTCCAAACAATTTCCCAAGATTAAACTAATCTTATGTCCTCCTCCAAATCATATAACTTTTGCATGAAACTTTTGCATTTTTCTCTATGCTTTAATGCTAATGCTTTATTTTCGAGATATGAGTCTGTAACATTTTAAGTAACTCATCCTGTATATAATATATCGCTCATTCGTTAAAACAACGACATAATCAAAAATCATTATGTATGTGTGACAGATTACGAAAATGAGTATAGAGATATCGAGTAGAGAGAAGAGATATCATGCAGATGAAATATATAAATCTCGGCATTTATATGCTCGAACGCTTTTGTTGTGTAGCAAAGTGCCATTGAAAGCGTGTTTCAACGCGTTAAAAATGGTGCTATGTCATGCCAAAAAATTCGTAGGATGAAACAATAATACGTTCCGTGCAAAAATAATATTTTTCGATATCACAGCACACAATAATAATAGAGATGTATAAATAAACATTAAGCTGAAATTTAGATAAATTGTTCATCTGTTGTGAAAACGAGGTTATATATATATATATATTAGGTGTAGTAAAAAGAAATCTATTATTTTTGCATGAAATTGAATGGAAAAATAATGGATTTCTTTTTACTACACCTAATATATAAAGGAAGAGTACATTAAATTTTTATTCATTTCAGTCTTATTCTGCTAGTCTTACTCTGCAAATATGCACTTATTTATTTAATGTTTCAAGAGTAACAATAACATGTGACATAATATGCTATCAAGTTAATTAATTTAGCTTGATGTCAAATCAATGACGCAAATTTCATTTGCGAAAAAATACGCAATAATAACAATGTATACAATTACAAGTAATAATAATTATAGGCAACTGCAGTACAAGCGAAATGCAGCCACTCATAAGCTACAAAGTCCGCGCTCCACGTTTCCATACTCCAAGTTTCTCGCGCTACTTTAGAAGTTATTCGCCATATTTTATATCAGGCGGAAACCGCAGAGTCCACGGTAATATGAAATTACTTTGGAAGCCATCGCGTTATTTCTTCGTTTGAAAAGCAAGTGTACCCAAATGCATGCAAGTTAGCATATATGTACATGTTAAACTTCGAATAAATTATCATTTGCAAGAAAAGGCGCATACATTTGCGTAATAAATTTATATTTATATGTGAAAATTTATCAATAAAAATTTTAACGTCTTTAATTTCTTAATTTTTTAATTCATTTATTTATTAATAGTTTAATTTTTTAATATATCCCTAACGTCATATTTAATTTAAAGATACTTACGTGCTGCCTTGCAGATAGCCTTAATTTCAGGTTCTAATGGTTTAATTACTTTATCCTTTGGTGCACTTGACTGCATGGCTTTTACTGTCCTGGCCAAGGTTTGACAGGCCGCCCAAAGAATCTGTACATTCGACACACTCTTCTCTTCCTCTATACGAGCTGAAACAAAAAATATTTCATTTAAACTGATTCATGTTTAGATAAAAATTCTTTGCGGTCGAGAGAAACTTACTCTAACATTCTCGACTTTATTAAAAATTTAAATAGTCCTGTTAATAGCCTAGAATGAAAGTTTATATCGTGCTGATGAAAGCTTGAAAATCGCGCTCATTTTTCTTCACTAACATAATTTTGCATTTTTGCGATCATAAATTACTGAAAGAGATAGCTAGTAGAATTTATATTCGAAAATTATTACACGCTAGAGATTAAAATATTGCAAATATATCAGATGAAAGTCTATTTCTACTTAGAATTTAGTAATTTACTTGATATGTGTCGTATGTGTTGTGCGTTAATGTATGCGATAAAACTTAATATTTATATCGTTATTAAGTCCAATATTAAATTGAGAATCGTCAATATTTTCCGAATTATCAAAAAAAAAAAGAGAGAAACTTATGATCGATTCATAACATTCGCTTGTCTAATTTAATTTAACCCACATATCCGTTATGGTTCCCCGATCATTCAAAAATCTCAAGGGTACCGCCGTGGTGTTACTGCAGTGACAAATATCGCGCACTTCTGTGACATAAAATTTTTCAATAACAACGTTCGTCATGGGAAAATCCGGATATATATGTGAATTATGAACCATGTTCTCTCGACATATGCTCGCATTCTGAAAGGCCACGCGAGATCGACGTTATATATAATCCTGTTCATAAACAAAGATAAAACTTGAACGCTAACAAAAATGTAACGGTCATTTGTTGGGACAATAAAATGTTTTCATACGCACCCGAATAAAATTCAGCGATTTATTTATATCTCGCGCTGGAGATAATGCATTTTGCAACAGCCATTCGGCACAGATTCACGGAAAACAATAATAACTGCAATAGACGGAGAAATAAACAGTCGCGCGATAAACGGACTTTGTCGTCAATACAATCGAACTGAAAATGTGAATATCGTTTATATCGTGTTAAATATGGTCATACGATTTGCGCCGCATGTACGCGTGAAAATATTGTTTTGAAATATATTCGATGGGTCAATTAAATGGTAATATAACTGCGATATTTGTGTATTTGTTAACTTCACCGCGATTAATTAAATTATCGTTAAATTATCATGTCATGACATAATCGGCATTTAATCGACGGCATGAGCATCCACCTGTCGATTGACGATTGATGAACTGTAAATCGGCTAGAAAGATGTTCGGCATAGCCGTTAACGCCGCTAAAGTTAGCAAGAGAAACGGGATTCAGCTGGATTTCGGTGCTTCTAGCGTGATTTATTACGCGTATCAATCCAGATGGGGTTTACGGAGCGATTTCTTGTCTAGAGAAAATTACTCTACTCGGTTAGAGATTTTCCGTGCTCTCTTCCGTTTCAGCCTATAGGGTAACTTCGATATACGCCGCACCTATTAAAAACTTAATTTATTAAGTATTATTTACTATGTTTATAGTAAACGAACTATATCAGTAAAAACTTTGTACTGTCTACTACTATGAAAAAAATACTAGAAATCCGAAATATCATATTTTCATATCAAAAAATAAACTTTTTAAAACTCTTGCATTTTTGCCGTATATATAGGAGTGAGATATATGGCTATTCATAGGAGAAGAGAAGATATGTACGGCTCATGAAAAATTTACAAATAATGCATATAAATAAGATATATAACAACGCAATAACTTATAAAATGTGTTTATCAAGTTTTATCAAAGAATAAGAATGGTAAATACGTATATGAAGTAATAAATAATAATTGTAATCTTCCTATATATATTACAAGTATTATGACATGAGGTACATATTTCATATAATGCGTTTATTGCATTTAATGCACTGAATCAATCTACGCATTTTGTATGCTTTGAGCTTAAATCCTGCTCGCTAAAAATGCCATATAGCCCGAACAGACATACAAGACAACATGGGACATACAAGACAACAAACTAAATAAAGAATACGAAAGCAAAGCACTTGTATTTTGCACAACATGCTTTATTATTCCACTACACGTATGTATCACGAAATAACCATTAAGTCTTTTACACGCTCTACAGTGATCATTTTATGTAGATTAGAATTTAAGATAACGTTATTTATTACAGACAAATTGATTCAACGGTAAATTCATTAATATTAACAGTAAGAAGCTGAAATCATAACAATACTAATATAACATAAATAATATAACAACAAAATATTGTAACTGCAGGAAAATTATCCTCACTCCTTTTATTTTTTCTGACTTCTGTAGCGTAAATCCCAGCACGGCGTATTTATCGAAGTTACCATATATAATATTTTCTCAAATCAGGGAATATTTCCTTTCACTGCAAAGAATGATTTTGTTGAAGTACATATTTAAAAGCTCAATTACACACAGATCTGAAGATAATTTTGTTAGTCTATCAAAATAATTATTTAGGAAGCATAATAGGCAATACTGCAAAAAGTTTTGACATTCTAGCAACAGCTTGAGTTTTATTGGGTTGTTCGGAAAGTTCGTGCTGACTAACCTATATAATTTAATAAATGTATACTAAAATTTAAATCTCCTGCGTTTCAATTTTCCTTCAACATCGGCATGAACTTTCCGGACAACCCAATACATAATTCTGATGATACAATAAAATTATTTTCAGAGCGGTACCAGAGCTAAATTTTTAGATACTTCAGTAAAATCTTTTTGTATATGACGACATGTATGCAAACACTACATATCATATGAATGAATAATAACCTTGATATAGACAAAACTTGGTAAGTTTTAATTCTTGGATTCATAATATAATTTTCATTTTACTGAGAACGTTTATTTAATTTAACATTATCGTCGCTTCCCGAAATGACCAAAGCAATTACAGTCAGTTCACGCTTGGGTTTCACAGAGAAGTGCGAAAGCAAATTATGGTCTGTAATAAGTGCAATATTACTCTTTATAACGACAATCATTGTAAAAGCACGAACATTTCGAGGACAGACACGTGCGTAATTAATCTCTCGCGATAGAAGGGATCTACCCTTCCCTGCGATTTTATCGTCGCGGCGAGTTACGGGGCGCAATTTTGTCGTCCAAATATCATTATCGCGCTTTTTCATAAAATATCCATAATATGTTCAGCAGGCTTAGTCAGCAAATTGCCGGTTATCTCCAGTTTTAAATTACTCGGGCTCAAATAATCGAATTTATGATTCGTAGTCGCGGCAATATCATTTTTTGCAATGACTATAAAATTCCAGTCTTTAAGCTAATCCTTCGCGGGGTATATTTTTATCTTCCCGCGACGCTTCAGAGAATGCCGGGAATAAACGTATTATCAATTTCGCCGCATAAGCAAGCAAATTTGCAACCGTAAACCAGTTGAGACCAAATTATCAAATCCGTCGCGCTATTTCAGCTTTATGACCCGCTCAGCTTTATTGGTGGTGCATTACTCACAGACCGCGACCGTCTGTCGCTATTTCCTTTTATCAATAGGAGTAGGATGAGTAATTTTCGTAAAAATTGAATATAGTCATATCGACTTGTCGGTTGAAATTCCGTTCGCGAGACGATATATGCATCCACCATCATGGAAACTAATTATTCTACAGCATCCAAATAGTTATTAAGTTCGCGGTTTTATATTCATTTGCCAGTCATCATACGGTTTTATTGCCAATATCACTGAATCCCTTTAATGCCTTATTGATCTATCCATCTTACTTTTACGGTTTGCTGTCAAAATTTGAATACATCTATTTGATGCAAAAAAGAAACAATTTTAATTTAAATCTTGTAAATCACGAAATCTACTAAATAAATATGCAAATATATAACAGACAAATATGCGTTTTTAATATTTGATCACATAATATTTAAATTTTGCTTAACGCCCACTATTATACATCCTATACAATCAATTTTCATCAATTTTATCTAAAATGCAAAGTACTTGAAAACTATAAATGGTAAAGATAAATTATCGAAAAGATATGGTATTTTAGACCATCGCTTTCTCGCGCAGCACTACTTACATTTTCCGCATATAAATGATCATTCATAAATTAATGCCTGGCGCTCTTCCTTTCTTTTCACGCAACATCGGATTCCAAATCGCTTTAGCGGAACGCATCGACTTCAATGACTTAAAACGACCGTAAAGTCAAAATGACAGACCGATTGCTCGACGTACGGTATATATCCTGGAATCTGTTTTCCTTCATTCTCTTTTTCCTCCGTTTTCTTCCGTGCTTATATTGCCGCGCGATGGACTTTCAGCGAGCGATTCTCACGCTTGAGCAGGTCGGTGAGTATCGATGTGGAAAACGGAGAAGGTTGAAGGGCCCGGGACTGTTTCAAGCCAGATCTATTCCATCTCGTATGTCGGTCCTGTCCCTCTTCTTGCCAAATGAAATTACGTTATTACGTGGCCGTTCATAACTGAACCGAATGTCATCGCAAAAAATTCCGAAGTCCTATTAAATCCGCCATGTATCCGTAGAAATTATCAAACTCCCGAATGAACGCGTCCAATTATTCCGGATAATTACTAGTTCGTCCGAGCGTACGCCGCGCCGCCGGCGCGACGGCGTATCGTTATTCTGACGAAGTTCCGCTCAGCGGTTTGCCAAAATTAATTGTCTCATGAAGATTGTAATTACTGCACCGCGAATATTTTTTCCGCGTTTATCAACGGACGCAGCGCGTAAGAAAGTAAAAAAAGAATAAATAAAAAAAAAGTTTATAAATGTGTCTTTTCAAATCTATTGTTTTATAAATTGCTTACACGTGATGGTTCAATTCTATACCATCGGTGTTCTAAATTTCATCCCGGTAAATATTGGTTATTGTATATGTGTAGAGAGATTTCAGTAAACTGTTTATTTATCTTTTAACTACGTGTGTCAATTTTCGTACTTCGTTACCAACTTTGTGATTGTCGCTTCATAAAAGCGGATGTTACTACTACGAATGTTGGTTAACG